ACAATTCATACCTTTGTGTTTGTATAAAGTGAGAGAGGCGAGGGAGAGTGGCGAGCGAGATTCTCTGGGGGGAAAGGCGAACGAAAAGATATGTATATATACAGTTTTCTCTCACTTTATTCAAACACAAACATAATTTATACATTTGTGTTTGTATAAAGTGAGAGAGGCTAGAGAGAGACTGGCGAGTGAGACCGGGAGAGTGGTGAGCGAGAAATTTGGGGAGAGAGGCGATGACAAAGTGTTTGCTACAGATTAGAATTAAAGAAACTGTTGTTATAACATTTAATTTGAATTAATAGTTTGCTATTTTATACAATTTTCCCTCAAATAAAAGGGCTAAATGGAAAAGAATTATGACGTGTGACAGTTTCATCAATCCAATTTAACGATGAATTATCAAAAAAAACTTGTTAATCACAAACTATTTAGCAATAAATTAGCGATAAAATTAGTGACAATCTTTATTGTCTATGCAACAAAGACAACAGCATATTCACTAAAAAAAAACAAATTTGAAATTCAAATTCATAAAATGGGCATGAATCCAGAATATGCTCCAATAATTGCAACACTAGAAGGGTGTTTATTATTTTTTATTATAAAAACATTATCTCATTGATTTTGAATTTAAAATTTTGAATTCAAGAAATAAATACAAAAGGGACATGACTTTATAAACTATTCACTTATTTTCAGAGTTACAAAAGTCAAATTTAGTAGTTACACAATGTATTAAAATTGTTTCATTTTTGAAAACTCAAATTCAGGTGGTGATAGGGACAAATTAAAGAATCACTATGAACCAATTACATGGATCATGACAGGATAGTTGCGATTTTTGCATCCTTAATTAACTAAAGTCTCGAATTCAAGCAACTCGAGAATGAAAAAACTCAAAAATGAAAAAAATTATGTTGAGAGTATCGTCGCCAGAAATGGTCATGGATTCAGATTTGTCAAGCTCCAATGCGGATATCAGAGCGGAAAAAAAAAACATGTGAACAAAATTTTGAGTATTAATGCAATGAATCGCAATGAAATCTTGATTGACATAGAAATGTTTGTTTGTACGATTAACAACTATTTAACCAACCAACTCTTGAGAATAAATAAATAAATCCTTGTTGAGTTGTTGTTCATCAAAGTCAAAAATTTCAATGGTGAGAAATTATATATTACTGTTTTAAGGTTGATTTTGTCAAATGTTTTAGTCAAATTATTTTTATTAAATTTGTTGTATTCCAGATTATGGAAGTGAAAATGACTTGTTGATTTAATTACCTTCAATTTAGGCAAATTTAATTAGTTGGAAATTGGAAGTGTCAATGTGATGCTTGTGATCTTTCACTTCCTCTCACCTAAATATATCACATTGTGGTGTCTGGTACGCATCCTTTTATTTTTAATCTAAAATATCATATTTCGAAATTTTGAAATAAAGATATCTTAAATAAAAAATGTTTTACTCTTAATTATATTCATACACATTAGAAAACTGTTTTAGGGATAAAACGGTTTCTATCGAAATCAACTTCATTTTTAGGACTCAAATTCAGTATCTATCGAAATCAACTTTATTTTCAAAACTCAAACTCGGAATCGAATATTCACCACCCCATTAGAATCTTTGGAGAAAATGTAGCATGTGGATAACCATATTCCTTGTTTTATTAACACCTTCTTTTGCAAAAGTTTGTAAGATGGTTTTAAAGTGGAGCTTTCAATTGCCCATCCAAGAAAAGGAAACTTTGTACTATTTTAAAATATAATAATATATGGTTTTATAATTCAACATATGATCACGAGAGTTTTGGTAGGTACATAAATTCATGTCATTTGAAATACGTTAAAGTAAAGCACTTCAAAATATGACCCATATATATATAGTCATCTTTCCCTTATTCCTTTTTAGGCAAATTCCAACTTTTTTTATCCTTTAATTTTCAGAAAATGTATACCTAGTAGTATAATTTGAGGTTTTTGTTTTTGTTTTTTTTTTATAAAAAAAAGAAGGTATTTGGAAGTTAAGCTTTCCTTTGTTTATAGATTTTAAAGTCAGAAACTTGAAATTAAAATTTTGAGTTTTTAAAGTACTGTATGGATGTGTATAAAGGACAAATATACTTCCGAACTATCGTAAATGGTATGCAGATACCCTCCGTCATACTTTTGGGACATGGTGTCCCTGCCGTCCAAAAACTAGAGCATATATACCCTTCACTCTAACAGAAGACTAAATAGGGACATGTGGCACAATCATATCCATCGATCCGATATTTAATAAATGTCGAATCGGTGGATATATAAGATTATGACACGTGTATGTCCGTTAATATATAGGGTATATATGCTCTAGTTTTTGAACGGCAAGGGCACCAATGTCTCAAAAGTATGACGAAAGATATATCTGTATATTATTTACGATAGTTCGAAGATATATTTGTCATGTTTTCCTTGAATTTTTATTGATTATTTTGAAATATTTAAACTTGGGACCCTTTTTGTGAACGAGCCAAGTATTTGGGCTTCTTATATGTGGCACCAAATTATATATAATTTATACAAATTTCATGCACAAAGGAACCACAAATATTTGAAAATGCTCCAGTCCAATTTTCAATAATATTTAATATGTGGAGTCAATAATCAAGAGCTTTCTATTATCAAACAATATCAATGTATACAAAATTTATACATAGTTCATACATACCATTACAATACACATTTTATATATACACATTCCAACACTTCTACTGGGAGGACCAAATATGGAGAAAAAGATAGAAAACAATAATAAATCACCATTACTGAAAATATAAAGTACAGAAATTTCAACAATTTGGGCACGCGCTAATTATATTCTATTCCGAAAGTTTCCCTAATTATAATAATTCTAGATTTTTCATAACTCTCACATACATTGCTCCTTCTCCCGATATATTGTAAACAATACATAAGTTGTGTATCAGATATATAATTATGTATCAGATCTATAACTACAAACCAAATTCATATTGATTTAGGTTTGAAATAATTGAGGTTATGTATCAACAAGGGAAAAGGTACAAGTACCACCCTAGACTATGACTGAAATCTCAGAGATACACCTTAACAAAATTAAGGTCCTATTACCCCGCTGAACTTTTTTTTTTTGGTAATTTTGTACACCTTTTTGGCTTACGTGGCATCCAAATATCTCCCACGCGTGTCAACAACATGGAATCATAGAATGTGCCACGTAAGACAAAAGGTGTACAGAATTAAAAAAAAAAAGAGTTCAGAAGGGTAATAGGACCTTAGTTTAGTTAAGGTGTGTCTATGAGATTTCAGTCATAGTCTAGGGGGTACCTGTGCCTTATCCCTATCAACAATAACATTTGTACCATATGCATTGTACACAAATAAAGTTGTAATGTATCTAATAGAGGTGGAGTGATGTATCCGGATGCTAAGAGAGAGAGAGAGAGAGGGGAAAGGGGATTTTTGTAAATAATTCAAATGGTATGAATTCTTTAGAGATTATGTTATCTTAAATCGTGTAATTGCGTAATTTTTCCATAAAAAAGTATATGATATTTGGCATTGTTAAGACCACAACTTTATTTAAATATTTGAAATATGGTGTTGTCAAGGTCACATTTTAAGTTTAAAAAAGAGTATTAAGTGGCAAAAACACACCTAAACTATCATATCCTTTTTTTAGTTTCATAAACTATTGAAAGTGTGAGAAACACACTTAAACTATCACTCATTAGTTTGAAAAATGCATTTCAATGTTGACTGGACCAAATGTGTGTATACACACACTCTGACGGGTCTGGCCCAAATTTCCATTCATGTGTTTTTTTTTGCTAACACGTTTTTTATTAGTTAAATATCAAAAACACACCTTCCCTATTGTGAGTGCGAGAAGCACCTAACTATCACTCATTCATTAGTTCGAGAAACACACACATATTCAATTGATTATTATAAAGTGAAGTTAGGTGTTTCAATTTATATTTTCAGTTGGGATTGTTACATGTATTAATTATATGTTGCCACTTTTGGTCATGGTGGATTGTTTTCCACGTGACAATCTTATGTGGAAACTTTTTAAAAAAAAGAAGGAGAAAAGAGTGTAGTACATCCACCATCACATATTACTTGAGGTGTGTTTCTCAAATTTATTAGTGATATTTTAGGCTTATTTCTCACACTCCAAATAGTTTAGGTGTGAAATTAAAAAAATGGATAGTTTAAGTGTGCTTTTGACATTGCATTTTTAAAAAAAGACTCAAATATGTCATCGAACTTTGAGAAAAGACTCATTTATGTCATCAGTTAAAAGTTTGGGTCATCTATGCCATTTTCGTTTGAGAAAAGGCTCATCCATAACATTATTTGTTAACGAAAACAGTTCGATTTCGCAAAACCACTTTTTACACATGGTCAATTATGATTCAACCATATCATTAATTAAATATATTTTTATATGAAAAAGGATCAGATATAACATCGAACTTTGAGAAAAGGCTCATCTATGTCATCCGTTAAAAAATTGGTTCATCTATGTCATTTCCGTTGACAAATAATGGCACGTATGAACCTTTTCTCAAACGGAAATGGCATATATGAGCTAATTTTTTTAACATATGACATAAATGAGGCTTTTCTCAAAATTCGATGACTTGTTTGAGCTTTTTCCTTTTAAAAAAATGTCTGAAGTTTGGCGTTGTTAAAGCCAGAACATTTAGTAAAAACAAGTCTCAAATTTGGCATTGTCAAGGCCAGAACCTCAGGTTTTTTTTAATTATGGGTAGTGACAAGGCCATAACTTCGGTAAAAATATCTGAAGTTGGTCTTAACAAGTCATTATATATCTGAAGCTTAGCCTTACCAAGGCCACGACTTCAACCCAAAATGTTTGAATTTTGACCTTGCAAAGGTCAAAACTTTAGTAAAAAAAATGCTTGAAGTTTACCTTGATAAGTCAAACCAAACTTCAAGCAATTCAAAACACAAAAGTGTAACTTACAATAGCATAACATTTACAAAATTTACATGCCCTAACTAAAGGACATTGATTTAAGTTATTACAAGTTATTCTTTGTTTTCTCTAATTAATTAGTTTATGACTAATTAATACATCCTATTGGAAACAAAATTCTGCAAAATTGTATCCAAAATAAAGTTGACAGCTGATCAAATCCAAGATTACTTGATGCAATATTTGATTCACATCACACCAATAATATGTGGAAATATATATAATGAATTCCACTTCTTCTTCTTTCACCACCTAATACTGTTACACAATATATTTTATGAGTTTAATTAAATACATTAATATTATAAAGTAATTTTTACATTATGAAAACACCTAAAAGTGACTATAACTATTCATAGAAAAGTTATGACTAGTAACATGACAATAAGCTAGATTATGTGCTACAGCATGCGAGGGCGAATGTAATTTCAATATATTGAGTTTATCTGAATTCAATATTTTTTAATGTAGAGTATAAATTTATACATAAAAATATATTAAAATTATAATAAATAGTATATATGAACTCATAAATTTTAAGATATATTGGATTAAATATGATGTATTAGGTAGGGCCGTTGGCATTTATTAATTCGATCCATTTTGATAGTCCAACTCAACACATATAAGAACTTGGTTGGCTTTAGCTAAATATGTAACCCTATTTGACCTATGGAGAAATCTTTTTAGCTAAATATGTAACTCTAATGACACATTTATGTGTTATGCCTAAAAAAATGACACGTTTTTATGTTTAGCAGTAACAATTTTAACTTTTAAAATGACCATTGTATCCTTCATGAGACGATTTAAGCCTCACAAATATATATAATTTATTTTCGAGCACAAGTTCCAAAAAAGAACTTCTTTCTTTTTAAAATTTCGTGTCCAGACAAATACCATCACATAAATTAAGACGAAGATAGTTTTTCAGAAAAAACATAGGGATAAGGCATAAGGGTCCCCCAGACTATGACCGAAATTTCAAAGACACACCTTAACTAAACTAAGGTCCTATTACACCACCCCCCCCCCCCCCCAAACCCATTTTTTGTAATTTTGTACACCTTTTTGGCTTACGTGGCATCCAAACATATCCCACGCGCATCAACTACGTGGAGTCACAGAGTGTGTTACATAAGTCAAAAGTGTATAAAATTACAAAAAAAATGAGTTTAGGAGTAATAAGACCTCAGTTTAGTTAAGATGTATTTCCGAAATTTCGGTTATAATTATCTAGGGATATTGATACCTTATCCCAAAAACATATGAAGGGTTGTTAGAAGAGTACCTTGTTATATGCAGAGGAAGAACTTATAGGAGCACATTGTAGAGCTTTATAGAAACACTTCAACTTAGTGCATTTGACCATCTGTACAATAGAGAGGTGTGCACATATCATAGGGACCATTAGTAGTTGGTACATGACAATTGGTGGTGAAAATTGTGGCATTGTTGTCAAGATGAGTTGAAGATGTAACCATATTTGGATGATACATAATATTATTGAGTCTAACATCTTCATGACTAATTGTATCCTCTTCAATAGTACCACAAGAATTTGCTTTACTTGCCTCACCAAATTCATCATTTCTTGCAAATCTTCCCCTCACTCTTGGCCTACTATCTGCTAGTGTTTTTCTGCATGCATACTGCAAATTTTGGGGTAGGGTTAATTTCACGTATAATCACTAAATTTCATAAAAAAAAATAAAATTGTTGGACAAAAGTAATTAAAATTTACCAATGGTAGCAAGTGTAATTAATGGTAATATGGTGTTTTCTATAGTCTTTTGGGTATGAAGCAAGGATGAGTTGTCTCCCTTCCTCTTTCGATCCAAACACTCGATGCATGTAGTTTTCGTGGTCACCACTTTTGCCTCTATTAGGCGGCGACCCCCCCCCCCCCCCCCCTTCCTCTCAACACAACATAGAGGAGTTTATCAAGATCGAGAAATAGAGAGGGTTGTCCTTTTATTGTATTGTATCGCTTATATTAATGGGGATAATTTCCATGTTCTTTCTAGACTTGTTTCGTTTCAAGAGCCTTCCTCTCTCTTTCCTTACCTTACTCATCTTTTGAAAATCATCATCCTAGATTTTCTTTTTGTATATCAGGGAAAGTACCTCCCCCTTATCTTTCTGTATTTATTATTATTATAGAATTTTTTCGAATCTCTATAAAACAGAATGAAAACCCCCAAGAACAAACAAAGGAGAGAGAAAAAGTAGGAAAAAAGGGGAAAAAAGTCTAATGTTAAAAGTACATCGCCACATAGAATATCTTCGTCAAAAATTTATACTATATATTGATTTAAAACATATATTAAACATTAAAATATCCTTAGCAAAATTTTTGTCTTCGCCACTGCTTCAAAAAATTTCAGGGGAAGGATGAGAAGGAATTAAAGTTTAAATAGTAGGAAGATGTAGACCTTGATTTTTTTGCTGAAATTCCTCTCATTTCTTTTCTTCATGTATCTATGAATCTTCTTCCTCCTTTCTTCAACTGAACACCTACCAGATTTAAAGGTAGGATCTTCAAAACTTGTGATTTCTGTGGCCAAAGTGTTAGAACAACCACCACCACTAACCAAATGTTGACTCTCATTGCTCAATGCCTACATAAACAAAACAAAAAAAAAATTGAGTCAGAATTTTCACTCAGATGATTCAAAATATAAAAAAAGTAAATACATAAAAAAATAAAGGGATTCAACATATAATATATATATATATATTAAGATAAATTTGACCTATTTATACAATATAATTTTCCTACAAAAGAGTAGCTCAGACATAATGGTGATTACACCAAACATAAGGTGGTCTATTGCCTCGATTGGGGAGAAAAACTTTTTTTGTTGTCGGAAAATCCCCCTCTCATTTTATTTAACTTAATGGTAATTACATCGAATATAAGGTGGTCTATTACCTCGATTTGGGTGAAAAACTTTTTTTGTTGTCGGAAAATCTCTCTTTGATTTATTTAACTTATCCTTTTTACACCATTCCTAGCCCCACAAGGGGTTCATTTGAAGCTCCGTTGTTGGAAAAATCACAACGCGTATACAAGGTCAAAATTATTTTTTAAGCATATACAGTAAAAGATGAATCCTCGTGTGCTACACATGAAAGGAAATCAATACCTGAATCTCATTGTTATAGATTCTTGACAAGGAATCAGGGCAAAAAATTCTACCATTTTCTCCTTGAAAATCCAGTTCTTGATTTGGCAATTGAGATCCAAAGAACAAGGCATGACTATTAGCAGCTGCAGCAAATATTGCTGAAGTTTCTGAATTCATTGTATTGTTGATATTTCCTTGAAGATAATTCATCATATTAGGATCAAGAAATGCACAAGAAGATGTACTCGCGAGCCCTCGCATGTAAGGAGGGAGAGAAGACAACGATTCATCTTTGTATATATGTCCTAATGGAGGATGATGATGATGATACTGATGAGACAGGGGAATAACAGAGCAATTTACGTCGAATTGCTCTTCATGTTGTTGTAGGAAATGATGATCAGGAAGTGTGAAATTCGCGGATGGTGTGAAGTCTATTGATGCTGAAATGTCGTTATCAATTTCATCCTGTGTATCAAATATCATTGACATATTGTCGATATTATTGTTGTTGTTGCTATCAGGACTAACATTAGTCGTACTGGTAACTGTTTTTGTGATCGTCCCATCATTTTTTTGGAACTTGTTTAGATCAAAATTGGTAGTAGTAGTACTATAAGAAGATTGTTCATCATAACAACAACCATTTGAGCTAGAAGCAACATCTGAATTTTGTATTTCTGAAAAAAGTTCAGATTCACAAAAATTCAAAATTTGATTATTTAATGGGCTTGGCATCTCTTCCTACAAAAACAAAAACAAAAAAAACCATAGTCAAATATCACTTATTAATTAGTAGCATCTTTATAGTACTACTAATACTATTACTACTTTTTCATAGAATAGAATCATGTCATTGCGTATATTATCTAAAAACCATCTCTCTTAATGCAGCCGACTCAATAGATGCTTAATACTTTAATGTATATTATCTAAAAACTATCTTTCTTTATGCAACCTGCACGAGACTCGACAGATGTGTAACACTTTAATTATATTATCTAAATGCCATCTTTCTTCATGCAGCCTGCAGGAGACACGAGACTCGAGAGATGCCTAACACTTTATACTAGTACACTTAAAAACTGTTTGTGGCATCTAAAATTGTACAAAAGAAGGACATGAATTCTGAGGGTTGTTATGTTAGTGAAAAAGAATCCAAAGTTAGGAATTTTTGTAGCACTAAAAGGCTATTATGATAAGCATGTAACTTTTGTCTACTCCCTCCGTCTCAATTTATGTGACATCATTTTCTTTTTGGTCAGTCTAAAAAAGAATGTCACATTTCCTTATATGGTAAGTATTTAAAGGTACAATTCCTCTTTTACCCTTATTGATCCCACTTAATCTTAAAGATAGTACTCCAATATATTTATGAGGAGAGAGAAAAGTGAGTCTACTTGTTAATATGACTAATTTTTGAAGGGACAATTTGATAAACATTTCAAAATCTTCATTTATTTCTTAAACTCCGTATCCGGTCAAATATTGCCACATAAAATGGGGCGGTGGGAGTATAATTTTTAAGTTCCTTTCATGAAAGTCATTTTACAAGAACCTTAGACCAAAAAAAAAGAATCATTTTTCACATGGACAACTTGAATAATAAGCTTGAAAAGGAAAATATTCTTGAGTAAATGCAACCTAAGAAAATGACAGGAATAGTTGTTAGTAGTAAATATGTAATATGATCTAATTCAAGGTCTTGAAAGAAAAATCAAAGAGGAATAAAAAAAAATCAATTCTCAAAACCCCATTTCTATAAAAACTTGAATCTTGTCTATATAAATCTGTAAAAAAAAAAATAATAATTAAATAAGAATTCAACATAACTTGTACATTAAAAAGTTGATGATGTTCTTGAGGATGAAGCATCATGTCTTGCAACATTGTTGTTTCTTGATTTAATTTTTCAAAATCTTGAAAATTTATATCATGCATAATATCAAAGGAGAATTTTTTTATAAAAAAAGTGATTAAAGTGATTTCACTTTTTTTGTTACCTTAATGAAACTCATGTTTGTAACCAATGGTAGAGAGAAATCCATGCAAGAAAAATAGGATTATTTTTTGGATTGAAAAAAAACAAAGATAGGATATATATGAGAATTGAGATTATTATGAAAATTTGGGATTATTATAATATGAAGATGGGGTGGGGTGGGTTGGGGGTGTTGGTCTAAATGGAAGTACAAAGGTATACACTTTTTAGTGATATATGGATCGACCATGTTGTTGGTAGGCCAGTCAATTTGTGGGACGTCTCATGAAATATTGACACGTGGAGGGAGCATTTAGATTAGGAAGCTTATATAAAACTAGGAGTGGCAGACGAGCAAATCAAATCGAATATGAGTCGATAAAAAAATGAGTTAAATAAAAATAGATAACTTACTCGACTCGACTCACATTTTAAATAGGTAAAAATGAGTTACCCAATGGATAATGTGGGTATCCATATTATAATAAAAATCTTGTTAAAAGCTTTAAAAATAAAAAAAAATTAAGTTTTTTTTTATCACTTCACTTCACCCCACCAGCCCCCCTATCCCAAAAAAATGTTAAAAAAACAATAAAAAACAATTACCACCCCACACCCCATCCCAAAAAAAAAAATTAACAAAAATTTAAATTTTTTCATTAAAATTTTTAATTTTTTTTTAAAAAAAATTACCACCCCAACCCCCTACCCCCTCCCAGCCCATCCAAAAAAAAATTAATTTTTTTCATTAAAATTTTTTTAAAAAAAATTTACCACCCCACCCCCCTACCATCCCCCCACACCCCCTATCCCCTCCACACCCCATCCCAAAAAAAATTAACAAAATTTAAAAAAATTTCATTAAATTTTTTAAAAAAAATTACCACCCCACCCCTACCCCTACCAGCCCCCCCTCCTCTCCACACCCCATTCAAAAAAAAAAATTAACAAAATTTTAAATTTTTTCCAATAATTTTTTTTTTAAAAAAAAATAAAATTTTACCACCCTACCAGCATCTCCACACCCCCCCCCACCCCGTATCCCAAAAAAAATGTAAAAAAAAGTTTAATTTTTTTTTTTAACAAAAAAGACTTTCTTACTACCCCACCCTTTATCACTTTTTTTGTTTGTTTGTGTGAATGCATATCTTTTACCTATTTTATTCATTTAACTACCACTTTTAAATGGGTATTATTCGTTTTTACCCATTTTTAAATGAGTTGGATACCCAACCCATTTAAAATGGGTAAATATGAGCGGATACCCATATTAGTTACCCATTCTGTCACCCCTATATAAATCTCACTAGTTTAAGAGTTAATTACTTAGATTCATTTTACTTTGCAATATTACAAATTTTACCAGATTTTGGTGTGTTCAGATATTCAGATACATCCAGATATAATATCTCGAGGTACATGTAGTCAAAATTAGGTGTAATTTATCCTAGATCGCCGTATCTAAGTGGATTCGCACGTTTTCGCCTCCCCCATCTTGCTCGCCACTCTCCAATGTATTTGGTATGCGAATCACACCAGATACACGTATTTGGTGTGTATCTAGTGTGATTCACATGTATCTGGTAGCAAAAATACATGTATCTATATGTATCTTCCTCAATATACAATTGAAAACTCTTAATTGGTGGTAAAGTACAAAATATTTTGAAAGTATAAATAATAATAGTATATATGACAGTGAAATATGTTTAATTTTATAGTTTCTCCATTATATTAATATTTTTGCTTAGATGGGAAGATAAAAGAAAAAAATATTAACGCCCTTGCGTGATAATAATGAAGTATGTCATGTATACTATTGAATTCTCGTTGCCTATTGTTTAGCCTAAAAAAGAAGGCATAACAGAAAATTTATTTGAATTTGGTCTTACTTGACAAGTAAACAATACTCCAATTTGTGGGGTATCTCATGAAATTTTGACACGTGGATGGAATATTTAGATTAGGAAACTTATATAAGTTCCACTAGTTTAAGACTTAATTACTTAGATGTATTCTAGTTTGCAATATTATGAATTTTATCAAATTTTGATAGATTCGTATACTTTCAAATACATGTATCTAGGGATACATGAGGTCAAAAATAGGTGTAATTTGTTCTAGATACACTGTATCCAAGTGAACTAGCATGTATCTGGGATATATATATAACAAATATCATTTGCCTCCCTTCCATCTCGTTCGCCACTCTCCTATGTATTGGGTATCTCATAGACATGCTAATCACACCAGATATGTATCGAATGTAATTCACATATATTTGAGATACATAACAAATTTTGCTTGCCTTCCTCCCCATCTCACATAACAAATTCCGCTTGCCTTCCTCCCCATCTCACTCGCCTTTCTCTCTAAGTTAGTGTATATGGTAGCAAAAATACATGTATCTAGGTGAATCTTCCACAACATATGATAAGAAACTCTTAATTAGTGGTAAAATACGCAATAATTTTAAAAATATAGATAATAATAGTATATAATATATAGTGGGATATGTCTAATTACATAGTTTCTCCTTTAGATGGGAATATAAAAAAAAATTAACGCCCTTGCGATAGTAATGAGGTATATCACGTATACTATTGAATTCTCGTGCCTATTGTATAGCCTAAAAATGAAGGCATAATACAACAAATTGTATAAACATATATTTAAATTTGGTCTCAGTTGACAAGTAAGCAATACTCCAATTTTAAATATGCACATTTAGACACTTCAAACTCGTCTTTATTGTGTTAGCTTGAACACTCCAACTTACAAAAGGATCATCCAAACACAATGTGTTACGTCAGCATCGAATATACATGAGACACAATAACGTTGCGTTAGAATATTTCGTTGTTAGTGATGATCAAGTTAAAATGTCTAAATATATACTCTCAAAATTAAAGTGCAACCTAAATTTGAGTATATGTTCACGTATTAGCAAAATTGTTACAAGGAAAGGAGGTTACCAAAAAAAATTGCAAGGAAAATTGTAGGTGTTAATTGAGTTACTATTTTATAAGAACTTTATATGAATATATGCTAATTTGTAATCTGAAAATGATATATTTTTTTTCAGTCAAAGACATCAATAAACACTAAGCAAGACTATCCAAATTCGAAACAAGTAGCTTTCAATTGGAGAGAACTTCATTGTTACTTCGAATAAAAATAACTCATTTTAGGTTTGTTTGGTACGATCGAATATGTTTCTACGAAAATTATTTTTTCGAAATATAAAGGGAATATATATAAAAAATTTAAAGTTAAATTATTTTAAAATATAAAAATGTGTCAAAATATGAAACAAAAGGAGTATTAATTAGATGCTTTGTCGTTCAATTTACATGATTAAGTTGAGACTTGAGAGTATGTATTAATTAGGTATGACTTAGTATTAAGTGTTATTAATTAAGGTACATGAAAAGATATACAACGTAGCGTATTTATTAGATTGATATAAACATCGAATATAAATAAACTTTTACCACGAAACATTGTAAGAGAAAGCAAAAACATCCAAATATAATTTGTAAATCTTATTCTTAAAGGCTAGCATATAAGTTTCTTATTCTTTGGTATTATCGGTCCTTATAAATAATGGTATCAAATTACGTATCAACCTTAAACATTACCATAAAGTTCCTTCATAAAAGTCATATATGTTCAATGAATCTCAAATGCTTTTTCTTTTTGGAAATCATCGAAGATTGAGCGGCTATTATTTTTTAGTGCACATTGAGTAAATTTGTTTATGTGCAATAATTCATATTTCGTGAGTCCAAAAGTCTAGCAAACACTTTGGAATAAAATACCTAGTCCTAACTAGGTTGCTTTGCATAAAAAATCACCTTTATATGTAGTACAAATACAAAATGGCAGACAAAACACCCCCCAAGTTATAAGAACCAAGAAAATCATGTGCTATGAGGTACTATCAAAGGTTATTATGAGTCTTTACCAAAACAAAAAAGAAGCGTGTGGATTCAGAATTTAAATATTACAAAGGTCGAATAAGGAATTTCATCATAACCTATTTGATTTTTTAAATCTAAAATCTATTTTCTGTACTTAATGAACTTTTTTAATACTCATACGTAATCGGAGCCAAAACTATTGAATTTGAATGAACTCATAATTTGTACACTAGATCCACATGCCATGCAAACAAGTATATATAGTCGTTTAAAATTACATCAAGAGTATGATCTAGTGAGTAATGAATTAGATTGGGAACCATGAAGTCAGAGGTTTCAAACTTTAAATATCAGCAAAGACAAAAATTACTATGTGATCTCTTCCCATTTGCCTAATTAAGTATTAATGGTGGACATAGTTGCTCAGTACTTGTGTTAGTGTGATAGGTAACAAATATTCGGTAAAATTAGTCTACGTATGTGAAAGCTGAATGAAAGTACATCATACTTGTTTAGTCTAGGTTCACACATTGTCCTCATTGGCTTCTATTTACATGCACTTCATAATATTACCAAAAATAGCAAACATACCTTTATAGAGACATCTTTCTTTTAACTAATTATAGAAATATTCTAGCTCTTCCAATACTAGTTCTTGAATGAAGAATATATATGTGAGCAATATATAAAAGTGATAAGAATCAAGACTAAGGTTGTACGTGTTTGTTCTTTTAATTATCATTATTGGGCTAAATATATATATTCCATGGCATTGATGAGATGGTTGTAAATTGTAAGCAAGGTTAATTTGTATGTGTTGTTTATGTCAAAGACTTTTAATTCATACATGGTTGCATCAATGCCAACAATTGTGGAGATTGGCATCTTTGGGACTAACGAGACACTAATTTCTAAGATGAAATCATGACATTCTGATTCATTATTTATCAAGGTTTCTTGTTGTTTTTTTGCATAGAAATTGTTTATATGTCACAAGCCTAGATACTAGCTAGGCATTTTTATAAAGATTTCATCTTATGCCTAGTTAATTA